GTGTGTGTGTTTGTGTATCAGCACTTCTTTTTCTCCCCACAGGCCTGCCCGGACTATTGATCTACTCTGTATAGAGCTCGGCCGATTGTTTTCTCATTGATTGTGTTGATTACGTTTCTCTATTGTTTCAGTCATCCAAATCACCTGAAATGGATTATTAAGTGGATGCAGGCTGTAAACAGAGCAGGGTTGGGAAGTGATAGTAGATAGTATCTGAACCCTGGGAAACTTGCTGAATACATTCTATAGAGACTCATAAACCACCTCATCGCGTTTGCTTCATGAATTAGTGATTTTAAGTCTAAAAAATCAGGGTTTCTACACATTCATTTATTTGTGGTGGCCCGCTAAGATACTTGCATTTGCTGCCACATGTTGATTTGCTATTTTTGGAGCTGGACCAATTATTCGGAGGATTTTTTGAACATATATATATACCATTCAGGACACTAACGGAGCAGCAGAGTGCCCAGGCGCGATGCAGGGGAAACGTATGTTTCCTAATTCATATAGAAAAAAAAATAACAGCATTTCATTTTAATATTGTCCATTATTTTTATAAGCTACTTTGCATTATAGCTGCAATGATTAGTTGATTAATCAATTACTTTTCGAGAGAAAATTCAATTTTTTAAACAACTGAATAATCATTTCAGTCATTTTCTAAAAATAAATATGTCAAACAGTTGGAAGTTTGATCATAAATGTGAGAATTTGCTGCTTTTCTTAATCATATTTGAAAGTTGTAAACTGGGTTCTGGACAATTGGTTGGACAAAAGCAAATTAAAGATGGCACTTTGAGGGGCGTTGGTGGCTTAGTGGATAGAGCAGGCCCCCAATGTACAAGGCTGTTGCCGCAGCGGCCTGGGTTCAACTCCAGCCTGTGGTCCTTTGCTGCATGTCACTCCCTCTCTCTCTCTCTCCCCCTTTCACACTAGCCTGTCCTATCATATAAAGGCCAAAAAGCCCAAAAAAAAATCTTAAAAAAAAAAAAGATGTCACTTTGGGTTCTTGGAAATTGTGATTAACTCTTGTTGCAGTTTTTGACATTTTATAGACTAAATGATTAATGGATGAATCAGAAAAATGATCCACAGATTAGTCCAATGAAAATAATTGGTAGTTGCAGCCCTACTTTAGATGAAACTGGCTATATTACCATGGAAACCGTGCATCCCATGGCCCAGCGCTGGGTCTAAAAGTTTGCTGTCACTCGCCTCGGCAGCAACACCTCCTCTGATCTAATTAATTGATTTGAATTGATCAACTAATCCAACCACAAACTGATTGACTGATCAATGATCTGCCTCACAACTACAAACAAACTCCAGCCGTGGAAACAAAAAAAGCATGAAGACGTCCACCTGCACTGCGTTCAACAGCCCGTAATAACCTCCCAGTTTAGAGAGGGGACACAGAATGATCACAAAGGCACCTACAGCCAAACCTAGATTTAAATTCTGTGGGAAACACTGAAAAAGTTACCTGATACCAAGGTGACACCTTCATATTGCTACTGTTATTCACTGGGAACCTATAATAAAACCTATTGCTTTAAAGATGTTTTTAAACACAGAAAAGCAGCACAAATCTTCACAGTTAAAAAGTTTGACCCTGAAAATGTTGACATTTTTATTCCTCCGTGCTGGTGATAGCCAAAGCTGGAGGCATTATGTTTTCAGGTTGTCTGCTTGTACGTACTTACAAATGTCCGTCCATCTGTCCCATTCTTGTCATGAACGCGATATTTCAAGAACACCTTAAGGGAATTTCTTCAAATTTGGCACAAACATCCACTTGGACTCAACAATGAACGACTTGGAATTTGGTGGTGAAAGGTCAAGACCACTGTGACCTAAAAAACAAAACATGTTTTTGGCCGTAACTCAATAATTCGTACACAAATTACAACAAAATTTCACACAAATGTCTAAGTCAGCTTCACTGTGACATCATAATTTTCACTTTTCTGGCCATTTTCAATGTCATAACTGAACAGAAGGGGAGACATTTGATCAGATACTGAGTTGGTGACACTCATCTTGGGTATCCGTCTTGAAAACCTTTTAGAATTTGTAGCTTCTTTGCAACAACATCCATATTTGAAGCATTGTCAGCTGTCATGGCTGCATAAGAATCTAGTAGACATGGATGTAAACAATTAAATGGTTAATTAGGTGTCTTTTGGCAAAGGCAGTACATATTTGTCCTATGTATCCCTAACCTTCTGTCTGACGTAATGTCTTCCTATTTTCCTCTATTATTTCTCCTCTTCCTGATTCTGTGCAGAGGCATTGATGAGGAAATATGGCTATAGATTTATTTATGTATTTCATTTTTTATTCATTTTCTAAATCACTTTAAACAATCAGAAATGTACAAATTTTTGTCCCTATGTTCAGATTTTTTTTGCTCTTGCAAATTCATTGGTTTTCTTCAGCTGTTACTGGTTGCATGAGCCGTGCAGTTAAATGTCCTATTGCGCGTTATCGCACAGTATTAGAAGCATAATAGGAACACTGCAGAATCAGTGTTACATTTTTCTCTCCTGTCCTCTGAATAATATAATCTTGTCCTGTAAAAGAAGTCACTTTTTCTTTTTACATTTGCAGTGTCAGATAGTTCATCTCTTTGTGTCAGCCTCTTTCATCCTCACATCTCTATTCTCCCTCTCGATATGTCCCTCAATTTTCATGTCTCTTTTTTTCCTTCATTGTCTGACTGCTTGCTTGTTTTTTTCTTGTCTGTATTCATCACTTTTGTGTTTGTCATTTTTCTCTATCTCCCCTCCCTGTCTCTTTCTTCTCTTTGTCAGCCTGTCTGTCTTTTCATGTTTTCCTGCATGCCATTCTTTCATATAATATGCTATCTGTATCTCTGCATTTTTCCTTTGTTTTCTCGCTACCTCTCTGAATCCCTCCCGGCGGCCCCTGCGGGTCTATTTTAGTGGTTTACTTTCTGTCTCTAAAGCCCTGGAGGTGAATTATTGAACAGACTGACCACTGGCTGCACAGCTGCTGTTTGGGTGTGTGTGTGTGTGTCTTTTCTCCAATTTCATTTCAGTTCTTTCAGTGCTTCTTGTCTGTGTCTCTGTGTTTTTGAACAATTGTCTATCTTTGTGTGTAACTTTAGTGCATTTTTACGTGTGTGAAACAGTTGGGAACTTGTAGCTGAGCCGCAAATTGTACTTACACAAGCGTTTTTTCCTCAAATTGAAGACATTCAGCATGATTTTGTACGTTTTGTGTGTGCTGACGTGTCGTGAAGTGTCGGCGTCAGTTAGAAAAAAGGACCCTTATACGAAAATAGCAAACCACTTTCAGTCCCGTCGGGGGCGTAATTGAATCTTTTTTTAACAGTTTTTCATCAGAAAAAACACAAAGTTGCACTAAAAACCTCTTCAGGTGTCACTTTTCATTTTGGTTTTGCTTTTATTTGATGCTTCACTGGAGAGTCAGAAAGTGAAGATGAAGCAGAAAGAGGATGACACATGCATGTTTTTAAGGCACAAAAATAGTTTGTTTGTCTTGTGTTTTGTTGCATAACGATGAATACAATGCGTAAGTCAAGAGCCGTAATATAAAATTGAAAAATTCACAATAGAAAATGTAATATAATATTAAAATAGGTAAAAATATATCTATAAATATGCACTAACTCTCCAGCAAGGCTCTGCTCATTCATCATCAATCAACGACAAACACCAAATATTAAAAGAAAAATGTTTTCAGAGCTTGTCATCAATCCACACCTCGTTGTGAAGATGTTTGTTTCTGCTGACTTTGAATTAAAAGTTCACCAGGAAGCTTCCCCCCACCTCTTGACAGCTTCTCATCCATTTTGCACTTTCCAGGCAGAGTTAATGTTTTTGACAGGGAATTGTATAAGTAGGGAAATAAAGAGCTCAAAAATCTGAGTAGGTGTCGGTTCCCATTGCGTGCAAAGACGCTGAGCGCCTTTTTTGGCTTACAGCTCGTTAAAGTTTAAGTTTTGTATTTTCAACCTGGTCTCTTTTTTGTGTCTTCCAAACTCACCAGATTCCATTTAAATTAACGGTAATTTTATTATCGTACACACACTTCATTTAAAATCAACAGAAACAAAATAAACCTGTCTTAGTTTGTCTAGTTTCCACTGTTCCGACAATCACCAATTTTGGTTTGGCTGAAATAAACACTGTTAAATATCGTTGCTGTCTGATGTTGACGATTTTGACTTTCTACAGTGCATAGTGTCCATAATATTCCCTAGCAACCGTTAGCGTTGGGTATCCAAATGACCAATGGAAAGATGTTTTATTACTTCATCTATTCAACACGTATCTCCATTGGGTGTCCATCAAAGCACGTAGAAAGTCAAAATCATCAAAAGTGGAGATACATGTTTTTCATCGGACAGCGATGATATGCTGACTCTATACACGCTAAAATAACTGTTTATTTTAATGGAGTCTGGTGCAACTGTTGATGGCGATTTTGGGGCTGTTTCTGGTTAAACAAAAAGGATCTTACTCTTAAACAAAATGGTCTGTCTCTGTAGGGATCCTTTCCATAATGTTGTCAAACACTGAATAACAATCTGAGCCTGTCAGTGGCGAATCAAGCACTTTTAGTGGACATAAATTGACAGTGCAAACGTTCTCCGAATGTTACAGCACTCTCAATAAATACTGGAACAATAAACAATTACATATGTGAAAAGCTTATAAAATACTAAAATATCAAAACCATTAGGAGTAACCAAAGACCATTGCGAACATGTGCATCTTACCATTTGTCTTAAAAGTGTCAAGGTAGAGGGAGCATTTGATTGAGAGTGCAAGGCTATTCCAAAGCTTTGAAGCAGCTACTGCAAAGGCACGATCTCCCTTACCCACCAGATCGACCGTGGGACAGTTAAGAGACATTGTTCTGAGGATCTAAGAGGTCTAAGAGACTTGGAGTAGGGGTAGGGGGCTATGATGTCATTCAATCTAAGTGTCCTTGTGTCTTGTCCACAGGCTGTTCAACCTGACTCTGAAAAAGCTGATCATGCTGAAGGAGCTGGATAAAGACCTCACCTCTGTGGTCATCGCTGTCAAACTGCAGGTATGTGATATCTCTACAGCCAGGCAATGAAATGGGCAGCAGTAGTGGAAGGGATAGGTTCAAAATGGTAACTGTAAAACCAGAACTGCTAAAATAGATTAAATCTCATTCACCAAACCAGACTTTTGAACATGGAAATACAATCCAATCAGAAATATAATGTTTAAATATATCTAGAAGCCAATGAAAACACCTGAATGAGTATAGAACATAGTATAGGTCAAAGTTAATGTTTGTAATGTCTGATTAAACTTTCCAGGAAATAAAAAAAAGCCTCATCAGTGACTTAGTCAGCAGCTTTAATTAAAGAACTTATTTCTTTAGCTTAAAACAGCAAAATTGTATTTAAGGACTCAAAGAATTTCCCTTACTCTAAGTAAGCCAAACCAGAAGAGCAGTAGATGTTGAAATGCTGCTGAATACACCACAAAATTAGCTTTTTTTTTCCTTCAAAGTTTCCGTTTTTGTAGGAGTCGTTCATTGTTTTGTTGAGTCAGGTTATTGGATCTGGACACACTTCCTCCTCTCTGTTTACAGCCAAAATACTTGTGTAACTCCTCCACAGCGTTGTACTCTAAATGACTTCTTGCCTTCACTTGAGAGGATCAGGAATGTTGCAGCTTTCGGGGCGTCGGTGGCTTAGTGGTAGAGCAGGCGCCCCATGTACAAGGCTGTTGCCGCAGCGGCCCGGGTTCGAGTCCAGCCTGTGGCCCTTTGCTGCATGTCTCTCCCTCTCTCTCTCTCCCTTTCACACTTAACTGTCCTGTCCATTAAAGGCAAAAAATGCCCCCAAAAAATATCTTTAAAGAAAAAAAAAAAAAAAAGGAATGTTGCAGCCTTGGTTTCTGATTATTAGAAGTCCAGTATTGAATTTGTTATCATGTGATGTCTTTGTAACAGCAGATGGAGCCAAGTTAAAGGTATAGTTCCAATTTTTTGAAGTGGGGTCGTATAAGGTACCTATCCATAGACGGGGTATAACGTATGGCAGATGTCAGTCAGTTCAAGTTCAAGTATCTTGGGGTCTTGTTCACGAGTAAGGGTAGAATGGAGCATGAGATGGATCAGTGGTTTGGCGCAGTGTCTGCGTCGCTGTGCCGGACTGTCGTGGTGAAGAGGGAGCCTAGGCAGAAGGCGTAGTTTTCGATTTACTGGTCCATCTACGTCCGAACCCTCACCTATGGTCATGAGCTCTGGGTAGTGACCGAAAGAATGAGATCGCGGATACAAGCGATGGAAATGAGTTTCCTCCGTGGGGTGGCTGGACTCAACCTTAGAGATAGGGTGAGGAGCTTGGACATCCGGAGGGAGCTGCTGCTCCTTCACGCTGAAAGGGGTCAGTTGAGGTGGTTTGGGCATCTGATCAGGATGCCTCCTGGTCGCCTCCCACTGGTAGGAGGCCCCAGGGCAGACTCAGAACATGCCGGAGGGATTGTATATCTAGTCTGGCCTGGGAACGCCTTGGGGTCCCTCATGAGGAGCTGGAAAGCGTCGCTGGGGAGAGGGGACGTCTGCCCCTGCGACCCGGCTTTGGATAAATGGATGGATGGAGATGTCAGTCGGCATGCCACCAGTTTGGAAAAGCAGGCTGGAGTCCAACCAAATATTCTCACTCACTCAGACAGCTCCTTCTGCTTCAGCTTCCTATCTATGCTCTTGTCAAAGCCACCAGACTCCAATGACAAAAACGGTGATTTTAGCTTGCTGAACACAGGAGTCACTGATCTACCACTGCCTCAATCAGTCAGTTTGTGTTACTCTGTGACTTAAGTGAATCCAAACTAACTAATCGATCAAGGCAGTGGTAGACCAGAAACACCTGTGTTCAGTGATGTTTAAGTGCTGTTTTCTCAATGGAGTCTGGCTTTGAAGAGAGCGATGTCACAACTTCTGTTCCCCGTCAGAAATCGCTGTCTGACGGCAAGGTAAAGCAGTGAAAATATTCTAAATATAGCGTGCACTTACACTGATAAGGATTTTGGCTAAAACACATTTTGCTGCTGACCTTTTTACAGCAGGAAATTGCTTAGCTTCTGTGTTGGTATTTTAGTCTGCTTCTCCAAACTGGGGTCTTACTGACTGACATCTACTGTAGGTAATATACTGACTATGGATAAGTGTCTCATACAACCCATCTTTAAATGATCTGAACCATCCCTTTGACATGAATAACCTTAAAAAATATGGTGTTTTTTTGTTGGATTTATTATGTTGTCATTCCACAAATACAGTTAGGATGCAGAAATTAAGAGTGTATCAGCTCACTTCATCCATATTTAGTGTATTCATCTGTATTTCTTCACCTCCCCTGCTCTGTTGCACTTTTCGTGCACTCCACGTCGTCTCCATCTTGTCCATAATTGAAGAAAAACAACAGATTCCTTGTAGTTTTCAACACAATCCAATTTAAGATGTCTAAATTCCCTTTTAATGCTGTGGCTCCACTCCCAGTTTCTGCTCCTTGGCTTGTTTTCACTCTTCGCCATCTCCATCTTGTTTTCTATCTAAGTAAACCAATAAATTCTCTGCTGTTTCTGGCAAATAATACAATCTAAGTGGTTTTAATTCTTTTTCCTCGCTGCTGCTGCCACCACTTGCTCAATCTTCCCTCCCGGCTCCCTCCTATCCGTCAGTTTCCTCGTCTTCACCTCCCTCTGTCTCAACCTCCTTTCCGTCCTACGCTTCTCTTCTCTGCATGTGGTTGATGAGGGTTTGTTGTTTCAACTCTGCTGGAGTTAGCCGGGGCATGCTAACAATAATCTCCTCATCTTTCCCCTGCTCTCATGACGTTCTCTCTTTTGTCTTTTCTCTTTCTCTCTCTCTCTCCTCTTCCTGTCGCCTACTCAGGGCTCCAAGCGGATCCTGCGCTCCAACGAGATCCTGCTGTCCTCAGCGGGGCTGACAGAGACCGACCTGCAGCTCACCTTCTCCCTGCAGGTAAAGACGAAAGTTCAGAGAGGTCAGGTACCTGTCTGTCAAAAGATAACAAAAACTTTATCATGCCTTTTTTTTTTTACCCAACAGACATTGCCAAACATAACTTCAATAAAGGTTGAAATGTCACAACAGATAAATGATGCAAAGTTAAGAGATGTCAAGCTGAACTATTTTAAATTGTTGGGGGCAGGTGTTGTTTTTTTTTCTCCAAAATCAAGTCTTCTGAGCAAAGAATGCATGCCAATTTAATCACTATTGTTTTCTGACAAAAAATAATAAAATACATAATAGGGAGACACCGATTGTGAAATTCTAGGCTGATACCAATGTTTAAAATAACTTAGCAACTTAGCTCTCCTTCTGCTGATTTCAACACAGATTTGTTGCTCACAATGTAGCATTGTTTGGGGGGGCAGTAGCTCAGTCCATAGGGACTTGGGGTGGGAACCGGAGGGTCGTCAGGATAAGTCCCCGACTCAAGTGCCCTTGAGCAAGGCAACGAATCCCCAACTCGAAGGGCTCTCGGGTGGCCCCGACAGCTCTCCATGTAATGCACGTATAGGTCCTGTGTGTGTGTATTTCAGGCCTGTGTGTATATGATGACTGAGAGAAAAAATTGAATTTCCCCTCAGGTATTCATAAAGTATATCTTCTTCTTCTCTTCTTCTTCTGAAACAATATAGTGTGTCCTCTGATGGGTCAATAATGATTTTACTGCATCCTTTTGTCCCGAAGGCGTTCAGGGAAAGATATATGCTCATCCCAAAAACATTTTCTATCACCCACATGATGGTGGAAAGCTGTTAGCCCGGAGCAAAACCAATGCGATACAACAGTAAAACATCAGCCACTGCCATCGGCGAATATCATCTTATTGCCAGTAAGCCAATGGGAGTCAACAATATGAATATTGGCGGATACAGATACATAAACAACTTGATGAACAGAAGTCAAATAAAACACAAGTCTTGTTTTTCACAAAAATGTCCTTGTTATTACAGTAGCTTAGTTTTAATCTTCTCATGTAGTGCTCAGCACCATCTTTAAGCTAAAACTAACCACTTGTTTTTTGGAATATGTCCTTTTAGATTTTATTTTAACAAAAAAAGAAGAAGAAGAGTAAAGAACCATGCTAGCAGCTCAGGGACAGGGGCTTTACTAGCATGCCAACATGCTGATATTAAGCAGGTATAATATTTACAATGTGTATCATCTTCTTAACATGTTAGCATTTGCTAATTAGCACTAAAAACCACTGAAGCTGATAGGAATGTCATTAGGTCTGAGGAAAAGCTGTAGGCTTGAAACGTCACTCTGCATTAAAATCCCTCTAAACGGGAGCTGCTTGGTGTGGAGGCTTATTTGTTTTCTACTTTGCCAGACGTTTCTTTGGTCCAGCATCCACTCCATTGGACATTGGGATGTGCGTGTCTTTTGTACTGTTTTCAGTGTCATTCGTTTAGTAAAATGTTGGTGCAATTTATCACAAAAGAACAAATTGAATTGTCACAAGCCGCCACAAATGAATTTTGGGCCATAATAATGAAACGGAAATGCCACGAGGCCCTGGAGGGCCTGTTTTCCAATTAGGTAAAAGGAACGCAAATGAGTTTTTCATAATATGTTTCAGTAATGAAATTTTTAGCTTGACCCTGTAATGATGTATTTAAAGAGGCCCTGCTTTGCTCATTTTTCAGGGTCATTCTTGTTGTAGTAGAAACCCAAAACCCATGTTTACATGCTTTAATTGTTTAAAAACAACAACAAAAAACACTGTATTTTACTCATTTTAGTTTCCTCATACTTTCTGTGCTGGAACAGATGTATTCACCCTGTGATTGATCAGCGTTTCTGGGTCTCACGCATCTTGACGTCTTTGTCATTGCAGCCAGGGAATAACTGTAACAGAGTATAGCGATACTTTCTGCAGTGAAAAATCACCAAAAAAACCTTCTTAATACAACCATACATGGTCCAGCAGGAATATGATGTGAAATTTGTGATGCGTGAGAAATTAACAACATTGGCAACCAAGATTGATTTCCACATGTTAGCATGTAGCTACATGTAGCAGTATAGTGGCAGTTTGGGAATGAATGTGTTTAGCAGCACATTTTCTCATTACAAATCAACAGTTAAGGCTTCTAAACAACCGGTAATGCACCAGCAGGATTATAATCCAAATTTAGGGAGAAATTAACAACCTCAAGAACCAGTATTATATATTTCCCTGATGTTAGCAAATAGCTACATGTAGCAGTGTGCTGGCCAGTGTTGTGGCACTTTTTCATTGAAAAAAAACCCCAACACAATAAATACTTTTAAACAAAACTGGAAATGTTTCAGCAGTAATAAGATCCGAAATTGGGGAGAAATTGACAATATCAACAACCAAAATTATATAATTTCATCATGTTAGCATGTAGCTACAAGTAGCATTGTGCTGGCTGCCAGGGAATAACTGTATAGCAGCACTTTCCTCCGATAAGATCAACAATAAAAGCTTCTAAACGCAACACAACATGTTTGGGGGCAATATGTTATGAGATTAGGAAGAAATTTAAAACACCAACAACCAAGATTACAACTTTCCCTGACATTAGCACGTAGCTACATTTAGCAGTATAGTGGCAATGTGGGAATGATTGTTTGTAGCGGCACTCTTTCTTGTTACAAATCAATAATGAAAGCTTCTAAACAACCAGTAATGCACCAATGGGAATATAATCCAAAATCAGGGAGAAATTAACAACAAAAAAACTACAATAAATGCTCTTAAACACAACTGGAAATGTTCCAACAGGAATATGATCTGAAATTGGGAAGAAATTAACAACATTGACAACCAAAATTATATATTTCTATGATGTTAGCATGTAGCTACATGTAGCAGTGTACAGGCTGCCAAGAAATAACTGTATAGCAGCAATCTATTCTGATAAAATCAACAATAAAAGCTTCTAAACTCAACTGGACATGTTCTGGTAGGAATATGTTCTGAAATTAGGAAGAAATTTAAAACACTGACAGCCAAGATTACATGTTTCCCCGACGTTAGCTTGTAGCTTCATGTAGCAGTGTAGGCTATAGAGTGCCTGAGACAGATGACCATATAAAGAAATCTGTCACGAATTGATGTCAGCTTGTCTTGGAAGTAGAAAAAAAAAATTGAAAGAGCATTCAGAATGGTTTGAAGCCAAAGGTTTTTGCTCATAAGTAATATTTTATGCATGTTTACTTCATTAGTAGAAACTTTCCGTGTTTAATAAACATTTCCAACATTGTAACATTTAAATGTATATGGCAGAAAATATGCAAAGCAAAATAGTACCCCTTTTAATTTTCCAACTTTGTGTTTCTACAGTCTTGATCCATAAACATGAAGGATGTTTATTTTGGTTGCAGAGGTGCAGAGATTAAACTGTGCATGTAATAAACATCAGACCCAGACATGCATCAACACTCGTACAGCGTTTTACGTTCAGTACCTCTGTGCTTTCAGGCCGAGCACGGTTAATGTAATTCCCAGCAGGGTTTCTTCTGCTCTAAATCATTCTTTCCAATTTCGATGTTTCTAAATGCTGCTAAAAGGTCAGGGAGTTCTTCTCTCTGGATCTTAGCGAGTGCAGTGAGCCAGACATTATACATTATACATTTAACTTGCTACAGCAGTGGCACTGTGGAGAGGAAGCCTATTAAAACCGAGCAGCAGAGTGATTTCATGGCTTTGAACATTGTTACAGGAGTCGGTTTTTGTTCCATTTATAGTGCAGCCGGTGAGATTCTTAATGAAGGGTTATGTCATAGCAAGGATGTGACTAAGTGGCTCGACACTTCAGGACGCCAAAGACAGGTCAGCGGGTGTGAGTGCTTTATGCAACGATTGGCCTGATTATCATGACCTGGGAAACACAAATGTCATCGCTATATCAGTTTGCATCTGAACCCGTTTAGCAAGTCACCCACCTGTCAGCTGTTCTGTGCATATGTTTGCTCATGTGTGTATTTTGTGTCCACAGTACCCACACTTCCTGAAGAGGGACGCCAACAAGCTTCAGATCATGCTGCAGCGTCGGAAGCGATACAAGAACCGAACCATCCTGGGCTACAAGACCCTGGCTCTGGGACTCATCAACATGGCCGAGGTATCACAACTCGATTCAGCTCTTATGTGATGTTACACTGAAATCCAACATGGAGGTTTGAAAGAAAATGTCCTTACTGAACCTCTCACTGTTCAGTGCCTTCCAGAAGTCTTTCCCCGTTCCCTTCTTATTTACTTAAGTTTCAGATGGTATCACTTCTTTCCCCCAGAATGCCTTCAAAGCTTTACACCCTAAAGAAATACCACTGATATTGGTATTAACTAGGGCTGCCCCCGACTAAGAATTCTCCCAGTCGACCCATAGTCACCATTTAAGGCCATTAGTCGACTAGGCACCTGCATGTTTACGATATTAATTTAATCATTAAATGATATATTTTGGGCGGGGCAACACAATGGTTTGAGTTGAAGGTGTGAGTAAGAATAGTTTCAGTAACATTGTTAACACTGTGCTACATTACAGAGAAATACAAAACCGTACTAATGAACCTTCATTAATATAGGCCTATATTTTATCTACAAGTGCACGTCACACACTGAGCGAGCCGCCTGTTAATGACGCTGTGGGCTAATGGGCATGTAGCTACTTCCATGTTTCAGATGATACATCATGTTTGTAGTTGACCAATGAAGACGAGTTTACATATCACCTTGGGTTCGTCCTTCACCTTCTCAAAATGATCCCACACTTTGGATTTCCTGCCCGACATGTTATTAACTAGCCTGTGGAATAACCGCAGGTACCAGCCCTGGAAATTAGCCTGACCATTTCCTGTGTCTGTCCTTTCAAATTAAATTCCCATATGGTCCAGTCATATAGGTTTTGATTTATTTTGACAAGGTGCATCTCCTAATAGAGTTTCACATTTGTTTGTTTATCTTGCGACTAAGCGACCAATGAAATCGTGCTTTCTAATAACCTTTCTCTTCGACTAACAGTTGGTCATCTATTTCTTTTGTGGTGACATTCCTATTGAGGATTAGCGACACATTATTTCAGTTTTAAATTTGACTTAACTGTCCTCATTTCAAGAGGATCCACTTTACCATAAAGCGGAATTGCAGCTGCAAACAAAACTTTGGATTTCATCTGACACAAGATACTGCTATTGTTTCATTTGGTTAAAATCTATAACAAGAAAAACAACCAACAGGCAGTTCATTTGCACCCTGTTGCAGGATAGGTGGAGAAATGGCTCCTCTTTAAAGCTGCTCAGTACATTTTTGTGCATTTTCAGCTCCTCCACAGCAGCAGATGGAGGTTAAGCTGCGTGTTTGAAGGCTGCGAGGTGTTGAGTCAGCAGAGTCTCGTCCTCTTCAGCGACATAAGCGTCCCAGCTGATCTGAGCTGTTGACCCAACAAACAACCGGTCACAGGCTCATTTCCCTAAACATGCAACCTCTGCCTTCTGCTCCAGTCCACTCTCTGTTTAACTTTGTTTCACTGTCGTCACAAAGTGATTTGTAACCTAATATCAACCAGAATGTAAATCTATTCTTCCATATTCCTCTGTAATCATTCGGAAACTTTTATTCGCAGCGGCGCCTTTCAAAACTTCTTCAGTGCTAACCTTCATTTAACCTTCATCCAAACTCAATTCAAGCGAGTGCACTTTTAAAATCCACCTCGGATTTCTCGATCTTTGTCCTGGCGTTCTCTTCTCGGCCACCATAAACGTCGCCATAAATCAAACTCCCAATTAAATTTTAGCCTCTTCTGCCAAAAGCTCCTCACAACCCTCCGTCTCTCACAATATGAAACCTTTATAAAAGCCGTGTGATTTATGGTGTGTGTGTGCGCGCACATGTGGATGGTCCTTGGACTTTATGAATGTCTGGTGGCTTTCGTAGTGAAGTCGGGTTTATTTACAGTGTAAAACACCTTGAACAAACCGGCTTGCCGTAAAATAGACAGAAAAGGACATAAATACAGACTCAATGAAGAAGGAGGTTTTGTCTCGGGGATGTTTACACTCTCGACAGTCAGCTGAGGCTTTTATCAAGAGGAAATTACAACACAAACAACAGTACAATGAGCTGATAGAGCGCATGAATAAAGAAACCCTTCTTGTGAATTCCACCTCTGCACAGAAAAGGCTTTTTTATCTAAAATAATGTGTTGCTCCAGTCTTTCATGGTGCCTGCTGGCTATCTGTGGCTGCCTCTGCATTTAAAACAACTTTAAATTTTATTCATGAAGCTCTTTCAGCAGACAGGTTGTGCTTCGCAGAGGGCAAAGGACACAAATGCAGACTCTTACGCATGATAGGTTCAAACTCATTTCCTTCACAGGCACAGTAAAAGTCTGAACTCTGCCCAGCGCTGTGTGTGTGTGTGTCAGAAAAATAATATGCGGTAGGGGACACACTCAGGTTTCCAGTTCAAACGTTCCTATCAGAAGTCACAAAGACATGCCATTTTGATGGTGCTGCTTTAATACGACGTGCAGTTTCCACTGACCCGGCAGGTATTGAGAGGATGAACCGCTGAACCTGCTTGAAAATAAAAAATGCTTTGCTTCTGAACTTGAGGTCTTACTTGAGTTTTCAAAATGAAAACCACAGGAATACAGTCTTCTGCCCTCTTACAGCATTTACGTATTACTCAGTGACCCAGGTTATATCAACACTGTAAAGCACAGCTACAAATGGTAACCTCAGATTTTTAAATTTGCTCTGATTTCCCATAATGCTCTTGAGTCAGTTGCTTTCAGACATCATGTTTATCTGCAGTCATAGTATAAACCATGATTTATATTGTTTTAAGGTTAAAGCGGCAACAAACGATTATTTTTCTTTTTTGTAATTTCCTTCATTATTGATTTTTCAAACAAACAACCAATAAAACACAGCACAAGTCGAAAAATCACAGCTAACTACAACAAGACAGGACAAAGGGAGCAAGGTCAGAGGGAAAACAACAGAGAAAGAGCATTATGCATAAATATGTGGATGCATGTAAAAATATATATGTGCATGATATATACTCTACATGGTACATCTCATGAATATCAAATTGTATGTCAGATTATGTACACTAATTAACACCTTAGATTATAAGACAGGGTGCAACTCATCAGTACGTCAGGTTACAGCAGTGTAAGGGCACAAACGTTTATTTTTATCATGAATTAATCTGCTGACTTTTCTTGATTAATCGTGTAAGTCTATGACACATCATAAACTTACGGAAGCGCATCGCATTCACTGAAAAAAAATTGACTCTTCATCTTGTAATTATGAGATCCTGATGTCGTACTACAATAAGGCCTTTTGCTGATCCTTTAATAATATTAACGTTAGCTGAATTGTAAAGTGAGTCAACAGCAACATTTTAGTTTAGTTTAGTTTAGCATGTTTATTTCGGTCATCAGTTTGGGTAACTGGGTTGGGTAACTCAAAATCTACACAGTAGAAAACATAAATACTGTAGATACATTTGAGTAAAAAAAAGAAGAGAAAAAATGGAATAAACAAATAAGTTTCGTATTCAAATTCAACACAAATTTCATTCGTTATGAACAGATCTTGACCGAAAAGGGTGTAGGCTGAAGCATAGCTTATTACGCCTCCCCTTTTACAAAAACAAATTAGTTTACACTCGTGTTCACTCTGCTACTTCATCCAAAACAACAAACAAACAAAATACAAAAACATTTAACAAAGGTATTGGCACATTATTCGGCTCCTTTACAACTCACAAGGTTCACTGACAAAACAACTGTCTTATACTAAATAAGTTTTCCAAACATATACAACATGCTAGTGTTTTTAGCACAAGCCTATGGCATTTTACATTGTATAAATTAGCCTAGCAGCTAGCGACCTTTTCCTCTTCTTATGTAAAACCAGGGACAACAGCAACATTTAACAAAGGTAACGGCACACAATTTTGCTCCGTCACAACTCTCAACGTTCACCGACAAAACAACTGCCATACTAAACATGTATTGCAAACAAATATAATATGCTAACGTTATTAGCACAAGCCTATGGCATTTTACATTGTATAAATTAGCCTAGTGGCTAGCAAACTTTTCCTCTTCTCATATGAAACCAGGGACAACAGCAACATTTAACAAAGGTAACAGTAGTAAATTCAGCTCCATTACAACTCACAAGGTTCACTGACAAAACAACTGTCTTAAGCTAAACACATTTACACACCCTTAGTCTTAATGGAAACAACAGGGTTTTTTAAATTGGTCCAGCATTGAGCAAGGGGCTGCAATGTCATGTGCATTGTTAATTACTTCCAAAGTGCTCAGGCTCAGATTGTTATTATTGTTATTCTAAGTGTCTGACAACAGTATGGAAAGGATCCCTATAGGGATAGACCCTTTTGTTTAAGCGTAAAATCCTATTTGTTTAACCGCAAATAGCCCCAAAATCACCATCGCCAAGCCCACCAGACTCCATTAAGATAAACTGGAATTTTAGCATGTATAGAACCAGCATGTTTTCACATCTAACTGGGTGAATTAAAGCTTTTATATAACCAAACCAGAGTTGGTGATTGTTGACACAGTGGAAAGACAAACCAAGACCATTAGTCAAGCACAAAAACACGGGAAAATATGGTCCAGGTTGAAAAACACCAAAGTTACCCTTTACATAAGCAGAATCATGCAGTACAATTGAGTTTATCCATTGAACTAACATTTGCAGAAGTTCAGCTTGCTCTGCCTCAATTTCATTTTGCTTCCTTGCTGCCGGCACAAGCACATAATGCTATGCAGTAATGGGAAGTGGGGGAAAAAAGTCACATTTGAACGCTGTTATCACAGTACCTGCGTGATGAAAAATATATTTCTAAAAAGAACTCACTGCACGTTGTTGAGCATAATGGATTACATTAGTCGCCGCAGTAGTTTAACTCTGTGGGCTCTTTTGAATGGATTTCAAAAAGGAGTGGCAGAGTTTGAGAAGATGAACCTGCAGTGAATTTAGACGCTTCACATTTATAGCAGTGTTTCTCATTGAATATGTATGTTGCATCGTTTTGATTTTTGCCTTGTCAGATTTGCATAATTGTCTTTCTGACTGGTTAAAATTAGCAGCTGCGTGAAGCTTTACAGAGCGACCGGCAGCGTCTGTAGCATCTGAGGCAGGTTAGCTGAACCTCGGCCAAGCGAAAGGATGTACAGCAGTAACGTCTCTCTTTAATGTGTGGCTCAGGCTGTCTCCATAATAAGCTGCTCAGACTTCATTAACTCTCCGAGTGTGACCAGACTGCTGAGAGAGGCTGGATGTCACTCAGTTAGATGCACAAACACACACGCACACACACAGGAGACGTGATGCTGCTGTTTGCCGCACAGAGAAATTTGTTTTTTTTAAATGCCTCACATGTTTGTGTTTTCTGTGTCGTCTGCGACAGCTTCTGGTTTTGTTAATCCCTCGCTGCTATTTTTGTTTATCATCTTCTGCCTCCTGTTTTCTCCTTGTTCCATTATCATCCTCCTCTCAACATCTGCCTCACATCTGTCCTCATTTCTTTTCTCACCCGTCCCCCTACATTTTCTCTGTTTCCACAGAGCCTCTATGTCAGTCTGTCTCATCTGTCTCTCTTCCTCTTCCTCTTCCTTTTGTAATGGCATTTAAAACATGTCCTGTGTTTATCCCTGCTGTGTGTATTAAGGGACCACGGTTCAAAAAAGCCTCTTTTTCCAAAATATTTCTCGTAGAAGTTTATGCATCTGACTGTCTTTCTTTTGAAAGTCATCTCCTTTCCACATGCATGCTAATATTTTAGCGTTCAGATGGATCTTATCTAAGTAAAAAATCAATAGTTAATTCAAACCACATCAGGGCACATTCAGAGTTAGAGGAAAATGTCAGTAAAAATATGGATAGAAACCTGTATCTTTCTTATTCAGCACATTGAAAATCAATGTCCACCAGTGACATTGAATGCATGTTTGTATTCTCAATAAATGTTACTCTATTGACTTTTATTTGACGACGAGAATCCCATTGAAACTATGAAACAGGAGACACAAAAAGGGACAAAATTAAAAGGAATTAAAAGTCAAGCAAAGGAAGGCTGCATTTCAAGAGACATTTGAAGGAACAGTGTGTAAGATTTAGGGTGATTTAGTGACATCTAGTGGTGAGGATTACAGATTGCAACCAGCTGGAGCTTCTCCCGGTTAGAATTCCTTCACTCTTCTTTGTTTAGGAGGTTTTTACCAGGAGCTTAATTATCAGCAGAGGTCTCTTCCTCTCCAAAACAAACAGACCAGGTGATTTAAACCACAAAAAATGTTGAATAAAGCAGTTTCATGTTACGAATCAGTGTTTCACCCATGCTGTTTGGCATGTTGGCGATGGACGACTTGCTCAGCACCTGCTAATGTGTGCACACCTTTTTCTCTGATAACTTAAGATCCCTATTTTCAGGAGATATTAACCAGGAGCCAAATTTTTCAAAGAGGTCTCTTCCTCTACAAAACAAACAGACCCAGTGACTAAAACTGGTAAATCACTAAATAAAGCAGTTCCATGTAAAAAAAAAAAAAATAAGTGTTTTTCTGGCGCAGATGGCCCTATCTAGAGCCAGTGTTTGGTTTGTCTATTCTGGGCTACTGTAGAAACATGGCAGTGCAACATGGCAATCTTCGTGGACGAGAACCCACTCCCTATGTTGATATAAACAGCTCATTCTGAGGCACTGAAAACACAATGATGCTTATTTTCAGGTGATTAAATACTAAAGAAAGTAAACATATTGTTATTTCTTTTCAAGAGCTAGTTTTGTAACCAGGTAAATTAAAAAACATTGAAATAGTAAGGAATCTGACACTGATTCTTTCATTTTAGATTTGAAAGTCTTTTAAAAGAAGAACGAAAAATAATTGAGTTTCAAGTCGTTCTGCAACATATTCTGTGCAGAGTGTGCCAAATACACAAATGCTTTTTATCCAGTTACCATACAGACATTTGAAGCGCGAAGTACAAGCAGTCCTGAGAACATAAAGAGCATGGTAGAAGTAATGAAACAGTATTCTCTTTTGACTCTGTCCTGAAATTGTGTAGTTTTGGGTAAATGTTAATTTGGTTCATTAGAATTTGGGGTTATGATATTCCTAGATCATGCATGGCATTGTACTTAGGCAATATGGCAGAAGGAATTGTGTTAAGAGAAGACAGTTGGTGTGGTGTCATAGGGATGAATAGCTTTTTAGAGACAGGGCAGTCTGGACCTTTCTGTTATTATTATTATTTTGTACATTTATTTTTGTTTGTATTCTGTTTTATAACATTTTTGTAAAAACACTAAAAATAAAGTGTTAAAAAATAAACAGTGTTCTCTTTTTATTAGAGACTAGTTACCAGCTAGTGTTTACTTGCTATTATGATATTAACATTGATATATTATTCCAACGTTGCCTCTCTTTTCTGCATCCAGGTCATGCAGCACCCCAGTGAGGGGGCCCAGGTCCTGGGGCTCCACAGCCAGCTTAAGGATGCCTCGGTGCCTGTTGCTGAGATCAGAGTCTACTCCCTGTCCAGCCAGCCCATCGACCACGAGGGACCCAAAGCAAAGATGTCTGGTAAGCACATCATCCTGCCACATCTCTCTCTCTCTCTCTGTCTGCCTGTGTCTGTCCTCTCCTTTAATGTCCTCTGTCTCTTCAGATCGCTCTCCAGACATCGACAATTACTCTGAAGAGGAGGAAGAGAGCTACTCATCAGAACAGGAAGGCAGCGACGACCCTATTCATGGACAGGTGTGTTTGGCTGAGTATAAACAATGTTGTCACATTTGTCCGAAATGCGTCCTGTGATGTATGGTTTAAGAACAGTGGGGAGACGTACCAAGAAGGCTTTTGTGAGATTTATTTTGTTTCTGTCGACTTAAAATAAAGTGCGTTTTATGATAATAAAATTAATGTTCTTTTAAATGGGATTTGGTGGGTTTGGTGTTGAAGATTTACTGGAGCAGTTTCAAAAGTAAACATAGGAAATAGGGTCCAGGTGGAAAAATACTGGTTACACTTTAAATATTAAGGTCATTTTTCAAGATGTCCTCAGTATTTGCCTTTTAAGGTATATAAGCTTAGTTAGAAGTTATTTTTCCATGTTTAATACCCAGAATTTTGATGAATTCCCGTATTCATTACCATCTTAATAATACAGCATGTAGTAAGACATCAGTTTCAGAGCAGGATTAGTGTTGAAGTATAACCCATCCTATCAGCTGTACCAAATAATGTTTTTCTTGGCAAATATTTTCACCATATAAACAAAAAATACGTTTTTAAAGTACAGAAAAATCCTGGAAATGTGTGTTTTTCTCATCCAAAGTGAATTGTGTCTCTGTCTGCGGCCACCCCACTGCCATCTTCATTTGTTCCTGTCACAGAGGTTGAATGACAGAGGGATGAGTTCACAAACAGACAGAAAGCTTGTGGTTTTATTGTGTCACCTTCTCTCCCTCTCTCGGCTTATGAGAGAGAAAGGGTGACGGTGCCGAGGGGATGCGAGGGGAATCTGCGCCCATTGGTGCGAGGAGATTGGAGGAGAGCTTGAAAGGAGCAAACAGACAACGGAGAGAGATAAGAGGGGAGCAACAAGGCTTTGGAGGCCGGATTGAAAAGGCTGAAAGGAGGGATGGAGGGAAGCTGAGAGGAGGGAGGGGAGGTGATGGTACGGGGTGAGGAGAGCCACTGCAGGACTGGAGCAGTGAGTCGTGAAAGAATAAAGGAGAAAAGAGCAAATCGGTCACGGCTGGTTTATAATTAGGTTTTTTTTTTTTGGGTAGTTCTGGCCATAATAACATTATAGTCATCAAGTTAATTGCTGAAATCTGGAACCATGGCAACATCCCTAAAAAGAAGATAGTGGTGAGAAAACATGAGAGGTCAGACAACCATACAAGTTTTAAACACTCACCAAGGTTATTCAAACAAACTTAAACACACAGAGTTTTCTTTGGTAATCAGGGATCATTATTGACATTTCAGGTATTTACTTTTGTTTTACCTGAACTTCAACTTTAGTTTATTTAACATGCACACCCCAGAGACTCAGCTACTCAGGTAATAATGTTAATATGACAACAAGGTTGAGGTTAGTAATTTCTGTGGCTCAGAGGTAGAGCGGGTCATCCACTAATCAGAAGATCAGCAGTTCAGTCCCCGGCTCCTCCAGCCTGCATGTCCAAGTATCCTTCAGCAAGATACCAAACCCCAAATTGCTCCTGATGGCTGTCCCAGTGGTGTGTGAATTCAAGTGAATGGTTACTGAGTAGCAGGTGGCACCTTGTACAATTGACTCAGCCACCAGTTTGTGATTGTGACATGTAGTGTTAAGGTGCTTGGAGTGGTCAGAAGACTAGAATTTTACCATTCAGTATAACTGTAGCAGGATTGGGGTATCAAGCCTTCTTGTCACAAGGTAAAACAGTCAGTTGATTGGTTTCCCAGCAGGTCAAATTAGGAGAGATTATGGTGAACAGAAAAAAGATGTGTCTTTAGCCTGAATTTGAAAGTATCAACAGAGCTTACCTCCCAAATGTGCATAGAAGAAACAACAAGCAACATTTTAGTGCATTCAAATGCAGGAAATAATTGCACATCCAATGATGGACTTCTAACAAGCACGCTATTAATTTAACCAGCTGGGAGGAATCACTGAGAGTTACAAGAAGATAGATTTATGTGTCATCAGCGTAGCAGTCATACACTATAGTTTGTATTTTTATTATTTTTTTAGATATTTTTTAGGGCATTTTGCCTTTATTGGACAGGACAGGCAAGCGTGAAAGGGGGAGAGAGAGGTGGGTTGACATTCAGCAAAGGGCCACAGGCCGGACTCGAACCCGGGCCGCTGCGGCAACAGCCCTGCACATGGGGCGCCCGCTCCACCACTAAGCCACCAACGCCCTTATAGTTTGTATTTTTAAATTTAACCCAAAGGCAGCAAGTAAAAATAAAACAAGTGTGGACCGAGTGCTGATCCCTGTGGAACACCCTATTTGATTTTGGAGCAGGAAGACATAGAATTATTGTATGCAATACTTTGTGTTCTGTTGCTCAGGTGAAAACTGAACCATAAAGGGACCAACCCCTGGTGTTGTAGGAGGATGTTGTGGTCCACACAGCATCAAAGGCAGCACTTGAATCTAGCAACACCAAGACAGATGACAGATCAGAGTCCATTGCAGTTGATAGGTTGTTAGTTACCTTAAGCACCTTTCCCACTGCACAAAAAACCCCACTAACACCTGATTTCTTCCCAAGAAAAGTCAATAGTGGAGCAGCAAGCAGAATATACTGAAGGATTAGGATGTGATGTCATGCGAAAGTGCTTCCTGACATATACATGCTTGGGTGTGGCACTGGTGTCAGTACTTAACCCTTAGTTTTATTAGCCTTACTTTTATCCAGACCTCCACAGAAAAAAAGTACGCCCCACTTCAGAGTTTTTCCTGGGAAAAAAAAACAGCTTGTAACTTTTGTCAATGCTACCACGCTACTCGGTCAATTAATTTATCTCTCTACTAAAAAGCTATTTGACGTTACCACCATACAACTGAGCATTGCTGTTAAATTTGTACTGTTGCTACTTGTAGTGTTGCTTTTGCCCAACACTGCAAATGACTCTGCAGTAGTCATGGGTATTTATGAGCTCCAGCTCAGATTGGCTTTGAATGGCAGTGATGGAAATATGATACCTGGGTCGAGGTGCTGATTTTAGCCCCTTTGCCCCAAAATAATGTCTGTCTCTGCCAGAGCAGCACTCAAACATCCAAATGTAGTCGTTACCAAGTTTATGAGAGAGACTAAAGCAAGAGATATGAAAAAGAGGTAATCACATTAACATTTTCACTGGCCTTCATGCTGCTTTCTACTGTTTACTTGCCTGTTTTCCGATGCGTCTATGACATTGAGCATGACACCCTAGTAAAAAAACAGAAATGTGTACACAGCTCTTTTCGACCGGCAATGGGAGTGTAGTCTATTGCCTATTTTTAACTGGTTTTCCTGTGTTTAAAAAAGCCTGCATACACACTTATTTAGTTGGAGAAAGGTTATAAGTGCAGTTATGGTAGAGTGCTCGCCACACTGAAACTCATAATGAAGGTCATCACTGGATAAACAGGCACTGAGTTGGCTGGTACCTCGAAATAAAATGGTTCAGATAATTTAAATAAACAGTCAGTGCGTTCGTAGCCTACTAAATCGTCCAACTGTTCATGTTTCTCGCTGTTTGACCTTGTTGAAGCAATGTCACTGATACCAGACATCAGTGTTATCGTAACTGATAGAAACTGTGGCCAGATATATGAAGATAAGGCTATTCTGTATTTTTCATATTGTTAATAAATCTCATGAAAAGATCAAAACTAACAACGCCTTAGTCTGGATCTCTGACTTCCCTGACCTGTCTGTCTCACAAACGTTTCTCAAAACAGCTAGGCACTGATATATTTATCAAGTGTTACTCAATTTGTTGGGGACTATTTGAAGCTGTGGATTAATATATTACATTTGCACTCGTGCTTATCTGCAGCGCCCGGACAGCGTGCTGTTTGTGGAATGGATTACAAAATATACAGTGCCCGTGTCACCAAGTGCAACAACGGAAGTTCACAGACTTTACTTGTTAGTGGTATCAGCTCATTGTTGTTTTTGGTGTTTTAATGGGATTTGTTGACAGAGAGAAAAATGTAGAATATTGGCAGCTTTAGCCTTTAAAACCCAAGTTGTAATAACCCAGAATTAACCTCTCCTCTTTCCCGGTCTGCCACTTTTTCCTCTCCCTCCATTTCTGTCTCCTTCTTTTAGTATCTATATGACGAAGAAGAGGAAGTGAGGAAGAAGAAGCCGCGTCGCAAGCTCCCTTCCAATGCTGCCATCACCAGAGTAAGAAAAACACCTCCACCCTCCCCTCCATCCCTCCCTCCCTCTGTCTCTCTGGTTTCCTATCTGTACCTGCTTGTTTTGTCTGTGAAGCAATTTGTGGGCGAACCTGCTTCGTGAAAAAAAGCCCTTTCAAATAAATTTGATTCGACTAGCCTCCCCAATCCTTCCCTCCTCATCTGCCTCTTGCCTCACCTCACTCAACCTCTCCTCCTTATCTGCTCCTCTATCTTCCTCTCCTCCCTCGCTTTTTCTGTTGTTGGCTTTCCTATAAATCCGTTTTCTCCCTCTTATTTTCGATACATGCAATTCACTCCAATTTTCCGGAGAGGAAAACATTGAGTCACCACAAGCCCCCGCAGCAGCGTTAACCACTTCCTGGGATGCATGGACACACACTCTTCCTCACACACGCACATATAAATACACAAACACTCAGCTGGAACGCAGATTAACACACAAAATTGTCGTCAACACGGAAAATTACAATGGACTTGCAATTTGACAGAAGGAAAGTGGTGTGTTCGTGTTATTTTTGTGTGCCTGTGTGTAGCAACAGGAGATTGTCTCAGCAGGTCGTTAATGGAGCGCTCCTGTGGAGGTCTCACTGAGATTGTCACTGCTGCTCCCCAACACAACCGCCTGTGGACAACACACACACACACACACACACATGACACATAAAATAACCATAATTTCTGCACTGCCTGAGTTGAAGGACACACACATGTTAAACATAAGCACACGCTCAAAAGCCATTACAGCCGTCCCTGTGCCATGTTCGGTATTCGGCACGCACACAGAAACATTTACATCCCCAGAGTCCAGCATGAAGTCGACCCTCTCCACTTTTTAACAGAAAATTAGGACACGACCTCCGAAACATGACAGCTCTCTGCAGCCAATCAGACGTCCACTTATGTTGCAAATGAAAACTTTGCCCAAAGCTGATTTTCACCAAAAACACCCCAATTTTACTAAAGGAGTGTTATGTTTCAGCTCCTGTGCTCCCATGCATGCAAATATTGTTGGTTTTTTGTGTAAGAAGATCACAGTTTTCAGTAAAATGCTTCATATCAAAGAAAATGAAGCGAAAAAATTGAAAGAAATGAGCTTCTGATTTGGCACTAGAGTCCCTTTAAATACAAATGAATAAACAGGTAGACTGCAGTTTTTGTATTTGTTGTATTATTCTTTTTAAATCTGATTTTAAGAATCAAAATAAAAACTGATTTTGTCTCTAACTTGAAGAAGTATTCATAATGTCCCCTATAAAAGCTCTACCCATCCACCTTTTACCCACATATACCCCTTTACTTGCAGATATTTTCCGGGAAAAAATGTTGATGTTCAGTTATATGGCATCAAGTAATTCAGGTCTCATTCTGTCACCAACATTTAGGATTCCCACAAACCTTTCTGGCTGTTAGTAAATTAGTAAAGGTCACTCTCATCAGCTGCACTTGCAAGCATCTGATCATCTAATCATAACGCCACCATAAGAATACTTCATGCGATGCACATTACTGCTTATATCTTTTGCAATATTTTTCACACCATGTGCAATATTCTTCAATATCATGATCACTTGCCAATATAGTGCAATATTATTTTCTCAGTCATGTGCAATTTTCCTTTCAGTGTTATATCAAATTCAGTGTTACATTGACTATCAGGAGCAGTCTGTTTTCCACAATTTTAGTTCATTTTTAGTAACTCTTGTACTTATCATACTCCTATTGTTACTCTATTAGGCACTGGTTTTTGCTGTTGCTCCATGAAAATACTTCTATCTTGTATATTTTGCCAGATACTAAATGTTCTATTGTTCTAAAACTGGGCCCAGTGAGTGACCCTGACCTGGGGAACCAATTGGTTGTGCGGTTGGTGCTGGTTATGAATCGTTAAAATTGTGATTACTGTGCTTAGTGTTTGAAGCATTCTCTGGCACAAGAATTTCCTTCGGGATAAATAAAGTTCTATTGAATTGAATTGAATTATAGATATCACCATATAGTAAGTTTTCTGCAGAATCAGTCAAGCTGTTTATGGATCAAATAATCTTTCAAGTAATCCAGCAAATAAAATATCCAACAAATCATCTGCTCACAATGGCTTAATATTTCCAGAGATGCAAGAGATATAAAGCGAGAATGAAATCGCGGATACAAGTGGCTGAATTGAGTTTTCTCCGATAGGTGGCTGGGACGCCTCCCTTTAGAGGTGTTCTGGGCACGTCCAACTGGTAGGAGGTAGTAAAATTTCGAGGGCCAATGCCGATGTTGTGTTCACAACTTCTTCCCCTGGCCAGCGAGTCTCCAAAAAGTCAGTTATTATAAAAAAAAATAGTCTGAAAAAGTGTGTGCCAAAAATAATTCAAGCAGCTGGAGATCCACTGCCTTATACAGAACAATACAGTCTCGCCACCTCATATTTTCCTGTCTTGCTCAAACTTCAAAAGCACATTTGAAGAAAACCCTAAGCTGCTGAGTCACTCTTAATAAACTCTACATGCACTATACCTTCCTTCTCAAATAACCCGGCTTTTTCAATAAATAAACAGCCTTTTGTTCCTACTCAGAAAAACATCTGCGACAGGAGGCGTCAACTTCAACCTCAATAAACCCATGTATTTTACTTTAATAACTCGAGATGCAGGGCACGGACATATCTGCATAGATAACACTCTTGCTTTATGTGACATGCAGAAATATGTCCTGCTGGTGTTTCCATTAACTGCTGCTGTTTTGAGCCATCAAGCATGAAACGCTCCTGTCATCTCTTTCCACGCCATGAATCTCTTCTCTCACATATATGAAAATCCATCTCCTGAGCTCCTCATGTTGTCCTCTTTCTCCTTCTGTTTTCTCTCTCCACAGCAACCCAACATCAAGCAGAAGTTTGTTGCCTTGCTGAAAAGGTTTAAAGTCACTGATGAGGTAGGTGCTTCGGCTTTTGCCCCCACACATCCACTTCATGCTTGTATTAGCTCCAGAGGTGTTGCCGCTGAAGTCGATGTGTATTTCAGTTTCGGCTTTGAAGACACAGAGAGGTGTGTGGGAGAGATGTGGCAGAATAACTGAGATTCAGCTAAAACACTACATTGTCGATTAAAATAGAGCAGAAAGGTGTTTCATGTGTACTTCTGGAGCGAGTCCATCAAGATGTGTGTGTGTGATCTCACACTCCTGTGTGCATGTATGTGTTTGTCTTATCTAAACAGCACAGGTGTTTGTGTGGTTGCTTTTCTTGCGCTAGTCTTTCTTAACCTTAACTTTTATTGCCTGTATATCTGTGTTTTTGTGGTGTCACAAACTGGCTCAGTGAATGTGACAGGAAGGGAGTTAAATAACCAGTGGAGCGTGTAGGACAGCAAAGTCAGTAATGAAAGCCATTCACGGGTGTGTGTCAGGTGTGCTGTGGAGGTGTTGAAGGTGTAAAACCAAAAAGCAATGATGCCAGGTGGATGTCTGCTGCAGGAGGTGAGAGACCAAGTGGAAACATGAGGCAGCCTTTATAGCCTGGAAGTCCCAGGTGAGCTTATTCACGGCAGCGACCCTCCCATGTCAGCCAGCTGCCTGATGAGGTTTCCAGAGCATCCTCAAAGACAGTGGGAGGGGCGTCACAGTGGGGTCCTTGAGGACTTTTCATCATCATTTTATTTAAGGGGGTTGAGTTGAAGGGAGGTCCGTTATATAAGCATGTAGCTTCTTGACCTCTCCTGTCAAATCTGTTTTGTTTCAGTTCTGGTTATATGCTGCTGTATAGGAGAGCAAAGCAAAAACTCTAAGTCAGGGGTCTTCAATGTTTTTCGCTTGCCTGCATGGCAAGGTGTGTCAGCCTCACCCTCTGCACTTTGGCTGGTGGTATCTGAGGTTGACGATGTGTCAGTCTCTTGCTTATGCAAACTTATGAAACGATCCATTGTGGCTCACAAGAATGTCTTTACAGTTCAATCAGGAGAGACAGAAGAATGAAGTGAAGATAATATTTCATACAGAATAGGAGTGTACAGATTAAGAGATGATATGTGCTGATAAAGATTTAACAGAAGTCTTTGGTGCTTGGACACCAGAGGGAGATAGTTTGTGATCGAGGGACATCTGAGCAGCAGCAGGATAAATCCCCCCATGGAGTCCAGATGCTGGTGGTGGCTGATGACACTGAGGCTGCTGCCTGATGAGGCGTATGAGGCTGATGAATCCTTAAAGGGCGCACACAACTGCAGCAAGACAGACCTACAGCAGAGAAAGAACCATATTTAAAAAGGAGCAGTGAGATGATAGGCTGACATAGTAGTGTTGCTGTGCTATTGGTCGATTGTGAATCAGCTGATGACTCAGGTGACCTACCCAGAGAGTGACACGTAGAGACAGTGAGTGAGCATACGTGCATTTCTATAAGGAGAAAAATGCTGCAGCTTCAGAAATGATACCATTTCAAAAACACAAGAAAACCCAAAACTAATAAAAAAAAAAAAACATGTTGCAGGAAGTTAAAAAAAAACAACAACAACAAAATACAGAAATGACTCAAAGTCAGAAACAACGCCTTGGAACGCCTTTGGGTCCTCCAGGAGGAGCTGGAAGAGAGAGGAGAGGGACGTCTGGGGTGCTTTGCTTGGCCTGCTCCGAATAAGCAGATGAAAATGGATGGATGGACTCAGGCCAAATGTAAAAAAGAACACATACATTTTTATGTCGTCTCTTTACTCTCCTTTTCCTTCCGCTTAAAAAACAAACACTATCTTGTCTGGTTTCTCTCTTGGGTCAAAAATCAAGCTGTTCCTCTCAGCGCTCCCCTCGAGGCCTCGAGAACTTCCCTTGTGTTGACTGGATACGCAGCATATTTCTGTTGCATTTGTTTGTGTGTTTTTGACTTTGCAGTGTTCTGTATAAGCCGCATTCTTCCTGTTAATGTATTTGTTTTGGCTTTCTGTAGCATGTTTCCACTGTCATATTTGTTTTGGACTTTCATACATTTTTTAAATGGCATTTTTCTCAGGCTGCAGTGCGTTTCTTTTAAAGGAAATATTTTGGGTTGTTGCAGCTAGGGATGTGGGCAATGACTTGACTAATTGATTAAAAGTTGCTACCCTATAGAGTTGCTATAGTCGGCACCAGAAATACTAGTCTATGAAACTTATTGTTTAACTTATTGTTGTTTTAAACGATTGTGTTCATCCATTGAAAATGCTGTTGTAATAATCAAACATGTTTGCTTAAAATTGATTTTCCTTAAGAATTTCCCCCTAAATTGTTTTGGCTACAAATAAAATATGATTTTGTAATTGAAAAAATGCAATTAACAGTTTTACTTGGCTCTTATAATAATACGCAAATGTTTTTCAGACAGTTTTTAACCTTGTAGCTTAAATTGTGCTCAATTTTGACTGTTGCGTGTTTTCTTACTTTAGACTAGTCGACGTGTCAGAGTTTAAACTTCTGTTTCTTGCTCAAGGATTCCACCGTAGTAGAAAGCACATCCACGTTAGCTTGGAGGCTAGTTAGCTGGTCATCATGCTTGTTAGCTGAGCGCTCCAGGTTCGAAATAGTCCCACCTTGTTCAGCAGCTTGTTCCTCCAGCAGCCTTAAAGCTGTTGTCACTTCTTTATTTACTCAAACTTGGCCATAATTTCGGCTAGTAAGTCGTCCATCATGTCCTTAATGCAGCATAGCATAGCTTCGTTAGCATCCGACTTCTCCGGCACGGCCTACCCCAGCTCAACTTGGCAGGCTCGTTTTTTTCCGCTAAAACTTGCTATTTATCAGGCTTGTGGCTCCCAAAGAGTGCAATGTAATCAGAAGACGGATGTTGGACAGATGCGGGGAGTTAAAGCATATTTATATTAACACATTCCTGAGGAGCTCCTGTAAATCAGGTCTTACATCGTCCATGCTCAGCGAAAGTCCCAAACTTCTCTTTAAACGTCTTAGATATTAGTCATCAAACATTCTTAGTTGTACTGCGTTTGCTCTTGTCGGCCAACGTAAAAAGGTAGATAAAAATCTACAGTATATTGATTCATACATTCTTACATGTACATGAGTTTGTGCCTCTACGATTAATCACTAACGGGTTTTGAATGAAACAAATATTAATATAGCATTGATTCTGAATCTGTAATTGCTTATTGTCCTTGGTCTTTAGAGTGTCAGCTGGAAAAAAGTAGGATTGGTGCATCTGTAGTGCAGTTTTACACCCAGTTTAATGTCAGTGTATGTAAGTCTCATAACAAGGCTACAGTATCCTGGTTTAATGTGTGCTCTGATTATGAGAATGACTGACTACGTTGATATAAAACAGGTCACTGTGGCGTGTAAACATCTCACCTCGTTCCCATTTTGGCGTCTGAAATCTCAGCCTTGCAGAGCCTCTTGGGTATATGTTGTTGCCAACAGGAAAAACTGGCTGTTAGTATCACTGTTTAGGATCAACTTATCTCTCTCTGTAGGGAGGTTATTGCTGCTCAGGAGAGCAGGTTTTTGACACATTTTAAATATATGTGTGACAACAACTCTTTCAAGCAGCAGGACCAGTTTGCTCGGACTCAGACTGTGCATGTGTCTGTTGGTCACTTGCCTCCTCTGGGTCTCTCACAGGTTGGGTTTGGCCTGGAGCATGTGTCGAGGGAGCAGATCCAGGAGGTGGAGGAGGACCTGGACGAGCTCTACGACAGTCTGGAGATGTACAACCCCAGCGACAGCGGGCCGGAGATGGAGGAGACCGACAGCATCCTCAGCACACCCAAACCTAAGCTAAGGTAGCTGCAGTATCACTTATCACACACCTGCAATACACCACATAGTCGCCTGCCTGGAGATATCTGCCGCTTCATCTACAAACACTTTGGTGCTGCAGGCTTGACAATACAATCACTGATAGGACTCGCTGTCCTCCCCCGACAATTCACAGCTCCCTCTGTTGGTGAAAACTGCTCACTGCAGCCATATATGGAAGTTTATTTGAGGTTTACATGAACCAGAACTGGGTCAGTGAATATTGAATCCATCAAAGTGAAAATGTAAACCAAAACTTCAGGATATAAAGAATATTTTTAATAAATAAATACAATTCTCAATGACGTCTTTAAAACATACATTCAAGGAAGAAAGTCAGCATCTCAGAGCAACTTAAACTCACAGCTGTGGGTTGCTGTAATCCTATTTTTGCAAGTCTAAGTAACTAAAAACAAACTTCTTTGTTCCGACCTAGAAAGGCTTGTTCAATAAGGTCAGTAACTTGTCAAAAAGTAGCAGATAAACCATTTTTAAAGGCCTTTCAAACTTATTTTAAGTCCTTTCTTATGATGTTATCAGCCTTAAAATATGACAACGTACCCAAAATAGAGCTATTTGATGGTGTTATAATGGGGTGTTATGTAACCTGGAAAGCAAAGGAGCAATAGAAATAAATATAATAGATGTTTCTTTTGTCTCTGTCAAAGTTCTGGTAAGGTTTTATCTCATTTTGGATAGTAAACGTACAATTGCATGTTTATTTTTGAAGCCATTTTATTAAATACGATAGAACTTTTTCACTGAAGACATTTTGATTCGTCACATGAGAAAAAACACGGGTGTCTGCCTGTCATTAGGGGTGCACATAAGAGTCTGTGGTGTCGCTGGCCCGTTTCAGTTTAGTCAAACTTGTGCTTACATCATAGCCACTTCATTTGCTGCTGTTGTAGCTCTAAAATGATGAATAAATTGTCTTGAGCGTCACATCCCCTGCGAAACGACAATCAGAATTTGATCAGTTTCGTTCAATGACATTTTGAAAGCCCAAAAGAACTGCATGATTTAATTATTTTATCCCCATTCAAGTAAGCACAGGACTAAACTGGAAGTTAGGCAGCTAGGCCGGCAAAAGTCAGCTATCACGAATACTTCTGGATTGTTATTTACCTGAAAACATGACACAGAATGTGATAGACATTTGTATTTGTGCAGGTTAGGCTTCCAATAAACACATATGTAGTTCAATTGACTGACTGTCATATGCTGTATATGTATGTACATATGTAATCAGCCCTCACCTTGCTCCCTAGGTTGCAGTGACGTGCGTTAGTACAACACACACACTGCGGGAGCACTGCAGGAGCGCGTGTCAAAAATGGCTGAATTGTCTGTAGCTTCCTCAGTTTCTGGTGCATGTTGGCTCACTGTCACACTGTCGTGATTTATTGGGTTGCTAAGTAGAGCTGAGTCATAGTTAATATCATGAGTAACACCTGTGCTTTTCCTACTATCACAGTCAAAGTGCTGTGAAAAAGGGTTGAGCACAAAAGGCACAATTTGTTCTCTTATGTTTCTGTCTGTGTGCACTCAGGCCGTTCTTTGAGGGGATGTCTCAGTCCAGCTCCCAGACGGAGATCGGCAGCCTGAACAGCAAAGGCAGCCTGGGCCGAGACACTTTCAGCCCGGTGAGTAACTCACATCCACGCGGAAGCAGCAGCTGCAGCATCAGCAGGAGTTTCACTTATGGGAGCTGTGGGGCGTTCATGTGGTGCTCAAGAAAACCTGAACCGTTTGTTTTTCCCCGTCCTCACTGGGAGCTGAGTGCAGTAAATCTTTATTGTTGCCAAAGGGCCTCTGAATTCCGACAAGACCTTGTTTAAACTGTGTGCAAAAAAAACATGTTACAGGTGTAAAGCACTAATACACAGCTATGGCTTACTCTCAAGCTGATTTATCTTGTGACACCCTTTAAAAGGCCTTTAAAAAGTTATAAATGTAACAATCTGGGAAGGATTAAACGCTCTTTGGCTGAACTGGTCACAACCTGTCAACACTTTTCAACCAAAAAAGTATTTTAGATCATTGAATTTAAAGGTTAGCTTTTATATTTTTCAACCTGGACCCTATTTTCTAATGTGTTTGTGAGAAATGGGAGCAACAGTCTTTGAAGCTGGTCCAGTATTGAGTGAGAGGGCTGCAATATGACCATTTGGGGCGCTAAGCCGTCAGTTTACATCCATTTAAAGTGCTTGTTTTTGCCACTGACAGGCTCAGATTGTTATTCCAAGTGTCAGACAACAGTATGGAAAGGATCCCTACAGAGATAGTCCTTTTTGTTGAAGAGTAAGATTCTTTTGTTTCACCAGAAACAGCCAGAAATCACTATCGGCAAACTCACCAGACTCCATTTAAAAAAACAGGAATTTAAATGTGTGTTGGAGCAGGCATATTTCTACATCTCATTGGGTGAATTAAGGGTTTATGTCAACCAAACCAGAGTCAGTGGTTGTAGCAACAATTAAAAGACAAATGTAGATGGTTTATCTGAGTATTATTTTGTTTCTGTTAACTCTGAATGAAGTGTGTTTACGATGATAAAATTACTGTTTATTTGAATTGAGTCTAGTGGGTGTAGAGATCGTGATTTGGGACTGCTTCTGGTTAAACAAAGGTCTATCTCTGTAGGGATCCTTTCCATAATGTTGTCAGACACTTATAATACCAATCCGAGCCTGTCAGCAGCAAATACAAGAACTTTCAGTGGGTGTAAAGTGGCTCCATTGCAGCCCTCCTCGCCATCGCCAGCTGCAGCGCTCTCACTCAATACTGGACCAATTTTTTAAAAAAAGAAAAAAGAACCTAATCTTTTGCTGTTTTAGCCTCCAATTAATTTTGTTTTATGCATCATGGCAGCTGTTGCTGTAATTTCATGCCTCGTGCTGTGGTTTACAAATCCTTTCCACTTATTGAGCATGTTTTCAAAATAAGTACACAGTGAACTTTATTCACACAGCGCTAAGTTAATGCTAATTGTAAAAAAGTCCTTCACACTCACAGTTCACCCATGGCAGGTTAATACAGGCCTCATAATAATACACAGCACCATGAAAGAGTCAAACAATTCACCATAAATTGAAGCAGCGCAAGCTTAAAAACAACATGCCACTCTGCATTGATGAGGTAAACATCCAGAGTCTGAAGCCAATGAAAATTGCCCAGCAGGGAGCCAGTGTGCAAATATAAAATTTCAGAAAACGTTTCCTTAATGGAGCAGAAATCCAATAGCTCTTTGACGGTCGCCATCTGCTCAATAAAAAGTGTGTTCAATCTTGCCGAACTGAATGGATTTCACTAGATGTCTCGGCTGCATTCAAACAGCTGCAGTTCCTCCTTTCATTGTGGTACTGAAGTAAGCCTTTTAGTGTTGTGACTAGTGTCTGCGCCACACTTCCTAAAACGAGGTTTTTCAGTAGAAAAGTCTGCTTTCATTTCAATTCAGTGGTTCTGAATCCAATTTAGTTGTGTGACGTAAAATGAATCACTGCATGCTGCGTGAAATAGTAGAGAAAACGAGGATCTCAGAGCCATCTGCCACTGCTGAGATTTCTCAGTCTAATTAGAGGTATACAAACTTGGCTGCTCCTCCCTTCACTGTTTGTATTGCAAGCTCCTTCTGCAGGAATGTTACATTTGTTGTAATGATGGAAAAGCAGATACATTAGCAAGCCAACCAAGCTAGGTGCCACCACCCACCTATCCAAAAGAAAACAGGCCAACTCTGTCTCGCTCTTCATCCTCTCCTTAAAGTCCCTGCCAGTGAAAGTGAAGACCAAACCCAGATTCACTCTCATTTTGGAACAATATTTGCCATGATCCTTTCCTGGCAATTCTGTACCATGTTATTTCTCTCTAATGTTAAACAATATCTTCATTGCCATGCAGTGAATGGATGTATCTTAAGAACAGTGCTGTTGTGGCTACCTAACATTAGCTGAGATGCTATCGTAGGCGACGTTTTGTTTTTCCTGTGATTGCAAAGGCATGACCCGACCTACACTGGCTTAAGCAGGATTTATACTTGTGCATCGGCTCTATGCAGAGCCTACACCTTAAGGCCCATTTATGCTCAACGTTAAATACAGATCCGGATACGGACGGAGCCTTCTGTCCGTGCTCCGCGTTCATTTCGTCCATATTTCTGCACGTTTCCATAAAGCTTACGGATACGGGCCAAACG